ATACAATGAATAAATGTAAAATTATTCATTTGATACAGTGAGAATAATTTTTGATACACTGAGAATAATGGCCTACGAGGCTTATCCCCATCCAATAAAAGCCAAAAGCTATTCTAGTCCTACAAGAGAAAAATGTCCATTTACCACCTCGGGTGAAACCCACTTAGAATTAAGTTTAATATCTCAAAATTTGGGGACGTACCTTCCTCAATCCATAGATTAACATCAATAATACAAATCCTTATTATAGGCTCTACGTAGTATGCATTTGAAAATAATGATATCTCAAGAATGAATAGAGACCATCCAAATTTTAGGTGGTGATATCTAAATCCTAGAAAACACAAATTTCAATTTTTTTTTTCGTTTCTAGAATAATCATCTAGTAGTTCTTAAGCAATGGTAAAAAGATCAGTCGATTAACTCAGGATTAGTCACTGGCCGATCCTGATCTGGCCTAATTCCAGCGGTCATGTATGTAGGAATTTTTTTTTAGTGCACTAATCGGCAATTTATTCTAAAAATCGGCTGACAAGTGCACAATCATAGTGCAAATTCTGCAAAGCAGTCCTAATAACATTCTTTATATATTTCTCTTTTTTTTATTTTTCTTATTCTTCTATGGACACGATTTCTATACTGCCAGCCTGCATATTGTAGAAATGAGAGCTTGGGTATATTTTTTAAATATAATTTGATCCTAATTTTTTATGGAGATAATAAATATGAAAATAATAATAATATAAAAACTAGAAATAATAATTATATTAAGAAAACATTTGGACCGTTAGTTACACTTGTTTTTAGATAGACTGCCTATTTGCATCCATCTTTAAGATGGATGATGTACCTCTAGACTGCATATTGTAAAAATGCGGCCCAGGCCGCATAACACAATTTTCCTTCTTCTATTTCTCTACTTAAAACTTTATATGTTATTATAAATTTTTTATTTGCTAACTGCAAGGTTTGCAGCTTTGGGCGAGTAGACTCATATACACAAGAGTTGGTCGGGCCCGACAAGGTGCCAAGCCTGTAGGTTCCTCAATTCGGGGGATATAAAATTTATTCGTTCATCTGATTTGATCTTCAACCTAATACCAACACCACCAAGCCCTCAAGGGGCACATAGACATAAACGAAAACACAGATGGAAATTTATCAAAATTATCACAAAGATACGAACAATTTTATTTTTACCTACATTTTTAATTGAATTCCAAAATACCCAAAAAACAAACATGGTCTTGAGTTGAAATATTATAATATTTTATAATATTATATTATATATTTATATTTATATTTATTTTATTAATGTAATTTATATTATATAATATATATTGATTACATATTAAATATATACATTATATATAATCTATATTTAATGTATTTTGATCACTGAAAAGTATTGCTACAAGTACCTAATCATTTTCTCCGAAACCCAATTATACATATATATATATATATATATATTGTGACAATATAACTAAATAAAAAATGTAAATTTTACAAAATTTCTAGAATTTTTTACAAGTTATTTGGGATTTTTTTTGGACTTTTTGAATTTCTTAAGATTTTTTACCAAAACTACATTTTTCACCGTGAAGGCTATTAGACGGTGTTGTTTCCATACTAAAATCTTGGTGATGCCCTCAAAATTCATTTTTATCTCTAATTATAAAATTTAAAATTTTAAAATTAGTATAGATCAAGTAGATTTACGAACACTTAAAAAATTGACGGTCCAAAAAATATTGTACAAGATGCATTATTTCCAAGATTTGAACTTCATTTTTTCTCATGTCATACATTTTGAGGTCGAGATGATTGATATGAGAATTTTTGGGCATTAAAACCATCACTTCTAGTGAATTTTGTGGTACGCTTTAATTTGACGCTTCTATAAACCTTTTCTCTTATATAAAATCTAGGCTTTACAATAAAAATTTGAGCCGCCCTTCAAAACCATGTATGGAAAATGCAATGTTAGTGCTAGAAACCCTAGAATGGCTTGTAATACATTTTCGACGCTAATTATGAAATTTGAAGCTTAAAAAATGGTATATATCTAATAAATTTATAAAGACCAAAAAAAGATAGTCAAGATAATGTATTACAAGATACACTTAGTGTTACAAGAATAGTAACATGGGTGTTAGTATGTAGTGTGTGTGCCTATGTAAGGCAAAAATTCTGCAACATGCAGACACGTCTATATAAGTACCACTGAGTAAAATAATGATATATATTAAAAGTTTCCTATATTCATATGTATGCACTAAGTGGCAGACGAACGGAGATGTTGAGTTCAAACATGCTTTTGAGTTTTTGGCAGCTTTTTTTATTTTGAAGAAGATAAGGATCTATTTTATATGTAATATAGTTTTTGTCATATTCAATTAAATCCATATAAGTGGAGTAGAATAGGAGCTTTTTATTCAGGTAGTCCAAGATTTTTTTTATATATATTTTGGGTACTTTATGAAAATATTTTATTTTACTATTAATATCAAAAAAATCAGAATCATAGGGAATCTATTTATGCCACTCAATATTAGCCATCAGATCTGAATGAATGTTTAGGATACCTTCCGTCCTAATGCGACAAGTGAGCCTTGATCGTTTGACCTAGATCTAGTGGTTCAGAGTATTTTATTTTTAATTTTTTTATATGTATCAAATGAAAATGAAATTTTGTGTAAGTGATGGGCGCACCTAAAAGAAATTTATTTTCATGAAAATAAAATGACCAAACTGCCCTTTGAACTTTCAAACGAATTTTGTCCATTTTAGTTTTTCAAAAATATTTTTAAATTTTTTTTGCAGATGTGAGCCTATTAGAGGATTTGACATGCCAAATTTGGTGTCAATCTAATTTGTATAAATAAAAAATTTAACATAAAGTAGTGTTTAGGCGTGTCATTGTGAATGGGACCATCTTAATCGTATATTCAGATTGGATGGCTAGAAGAAGAGTGGCATATAAATTCCCTATACCAAATAGCATATAGAAAGCTTTCCCTTAAAAAATTACCGTGTATATTTTATATTTTATGCTAAGTCCCACTTTTGAGAGTGTGTATTGTAATTTAATTTTAATTTTTTATACATTGAATTAAGTCCAAATTTGGAAATTTCATACTTGTCACCATCTCACACTTATAGAAAAAATACCAAAAAAATAAAATAAATAAAATGATCAAAATAGTACTAAATTTTTTAAATTTGTAGGTATATTTTGGTCATTGTTATTCAACTTGCTCGTAATTTTTAATATTGTTTTTACAAGCATGTTATGGTGAAAAATGTGGGTGCCCAAATTTAGAATTTAATCGGATTATACAGAAAAAAAAAATTTAAACAAAGTATTTACTATATAAAAAATAAGAAAAAAATAAAAATAAAAAGTGGGATATAAAATATACATGACTAGTTTTAAATTTGCAAAATAAATATTAATTTCCCCGCATTATAAAACTACTAAAGGCCAACGAAGAATGCAAGCTGCAAGGGTCAAACCATAAATATGAAAATGAATACCAGGCAGATCGGCCATGTGCACGTTAAAGCGTTTTATTTTTTTTATTTTTTTATTTTTTTATTTTTTTTTTGTGGGTAATTCTCTGCAGTTGACAAATCCCTACCTGTTTTTTAAATTGGTAGTGGTTTTTTAATACGTTAAGTAAAAATGGAAGCCTAGATTTTAATTGGGGCACACGTTGTGCTACCACCACGACGTTGATGATATAAAAGCGTGAATTATTATGTAAAACTTCTAAAAAAAAAAAATTTCAAAGTTTATAACACATCCAAGCTATCAAATTTTACATTATTTGATTGTAAATAATTGTGACCACCTTACATCAAAAGTAAATAATCTCATTACATATAACATCTGAAAGAGGTATCGACATGTTATTAAAACATTATAGCGTCCCTTGATATGTACAGGCAAGTGTCTAGAGAGTGTCAATGTCGACCGTATGTAATTGTTGACACTTTTTAAAAAAATATCGACGCACAACACAATAAATAATAATAAATGTTGGGGTTTCAATGGATACACTATTTTAGGGGTTAAAAACTTGAATTGATATAAAAGGAAATGGATTTCAAGGACTTTCCAACACCAATTTCGATCAGGTTTTTAAGTACAGCTTTACTCGTACGTATTATATTTATATGAATTGTTTCCTTTCAAGGTTGTAGTTCCGTAAGGCCATGATTAAAAGTAAATCCACACATTAATTATTTAATGGAAAATGTTTTTATGTGATTCCAACAACATATAAGGTATATGCGACCTTACTTTTTAACCATTCAATCATAATCGAATGGCTATGATTGTTCACACCACAATGTCATGTCAAACATTGTTTTATTTTTTATTTTTTTATACAAAGCATTTTTTATGAAATTTTGGACATCCCAACAAAAAAATTAGGGTAAACCTAAAAAACATAAAGCACAAATATTTTATGTAAAAATAAATGACCAAAATGCTTCTGCAATTTTCAAAGATATTCTAGTAATTTTTCATCACCAGAAATATTTTTTTAATAGTTTTATCATGTGTGCTCTCTTGTTAGATCTATGCACACCCCAAATTTTACTTCAAAATTACTTGGAGAATAAATTAAAAAAAAACACTATGAACCATATGATCAAGATCTAACAGTTAGATGTTAACTTATGACATTGCGACTCAAACCATCTTAGCCATCTACTCAGATCTAATGGCTGAGACCAAATATCACATGTACCATACAGGTGGGTGGGTCATAGAGAAAGCCCTCCCCCACATTAATACCCTTTAAGAAAATGTAAAACATTCAAATCAATCATCTTGACATCTACCGTCGTGGATTGAAAAAAGCTTTCCCCACAAAGATAGCGTATCTTGTATATTATTTTCTAGACTAACCATTTTTAAATGCTTAAGGAAAGAAAGAGTCTTACTGTAGGTATGGCCTTGATCAAGGAAAACAACATTACAAAATACGTGTAGCCGACTTCAAATAGTTAAGTATAAAATTATGATGATGAAATGAAGGGAAGATAGATTTTTAAATCATCACCAAACTGCATTTTCCAGCGGTGGTTTTGAGGTAGTGCTTTCTTTAATTCTTTTTAACGTGGAGTGAGGCCTTGCTAATTGCGCCCTTTAGTTCCACGAGTTTGATTTGGGGGAAATTCCTTCCATTATCCCCTCTCTCTCTCTCAAATCCCTTCCATTTCCCCTCTCCCTCTCCTGTGTAAATCATCCTCACGACATCTTAAAAAGAAAAAAAATCCCGGCATTCGTAGTTTAACAAATCACTGCCCATTTCCTAATCATTTCATGAGATGCCATGGCAAATACCAAATCTTCACATCGCAAAACCACGTTCAAAAACCATCAGGTCCCTTCTTATTCCGTTGTTTTCAATCAAAACAAAAGAACCCATCAACACAATGCCCACTTACTTACCTGAAGCCATGAACTATGTAGATGAAACAGAGGCACGCAGACTTCAGCGTCGCACAGGGAGCCATGCATCTTCTGAAACTGATGCAACAATTGGGAATAGTCGGTTATATGAATCAGGAAGAGCAGATCATACCCAACAAATGTTTGATAGTATGAACCAGAGATATGAAGCCTCTTGGTCCCTAGAAATTGCAGGCCATGCAGAGGCCGGAAACCCCAATAAAGCCCTTGAGCTTTTCTTCGAGATGAGAAGAGCAAATTTACAACCAACCCATCTCACATTTTCAAAGGTGTTGAAGGTCTGCACCAGTTTAAGGCACCTAAGCTTGGGCATGCAGATCCATGGCTGCACGATAAGAAATGGATTAATCCACCATGTATTTGTTTCCAACTCCACAATCAAGTTGTATTCAGATAGTGGCTTCTTGGCTGAAAGCGTCAGCCTTTTCAAGGAAGCCTCAATCAGGGATCAAGTCACATGGGCCTTAATCATCTCGTCCTGTGCTCGCATTGGAAGCGTGGAAAAATCTCTGAGTCTTTTCAAAGAAATGAATAATGGAGGCCTAAAACCAGACGGGTTTGTCCTTGCCTCTGTTATCAATGCTTGTTCGAGAATCAACGGTCTCGAAAAGGGCAAACAAGTCCATGGGCACATCATTAAAACTGGTTTCGCGTCCAGTTTATCAGTCGGGAATGCAGTGACAAGCTTCTACATGAGAGGCAACATGCTCACCGATGCTTATTTAGTGTTTGATGGCATGGTGCATAAAGATGTCATCTCATGGACAACCATGCTCTCTGGTTTGGTACAATCTGGTTATGGTGATAAGGCCATGGATGTTTTTGACCAGATGCATCATCTTGGGCTTTATAAAGATGGATTCATATTTGCAGGTGCTCTGGGGGCTTGTAGCCTGTTTGGATCCCTTGAAAAAGGTGCACAAATCCATGGCCTCATAACCCGAAATGGGTTCGAATCAGAGGCGTTTATAGGAAACTCTCTGATAGACATGTACTCAAAGTGTGGGAGCATAGAGATGGCACAAAAGGTTTTCAATGGCATGCCATCTCGAAACACAGTTTCATGGACAGCAATTATAATAGGATATGCCCAAAATGGACACGGGAATAAAACTCTAGGGCTCTTTGAGGAGATGCAAGGGTTGGGGATAAAACCAGACCATGTAACTTTTATAGGGGTTCTCTCAGCTTGTAGGCATTCTGGTCTATTAGAAGCTGGCGAAAAATATTTTCGAGACATGGAAAGAATTCATGGAATCAAAGCCAGACTTGAGCATTATGCCTGCATGATCGACCTGCTTGCTCGAAAGGGATGCTTTACCAAAGCTTCAGATCTGCTAAAATCAATGCCCTATGAACCAGACCCAATTATTTGGGGTACTTTATTGGGAGCTTGCAGGGTTCATAATAATACCCAATTGGCTGAAGAAGTAGCAAAGAGGCTACTGGCTATTGACCCAGATTGTGCAGGGACCCATGTCCTGCTCGCAAATATATACTCAGCCGCCGAAAGATGGGAAGATGTGGCTAAGGTTAGGAAATTGATGAGAGAGAAAGGGTTGATGAAAGAGAAAGGAAGAAGTTGGATATCAGTGAGAAACCAAGTTTATTCTTTTGTTATGGAAGATAGATCAAAGCCACAAACACGAATGATATATGAGATGCTTGCAAGGCTCAGAAAAGAGATTGAGCTTGTGGGTTATGTTCCTGATACAGGATTTGCGCTTCATGATGTAGAAGAGGAAGTGAAGAAGCAGGTTCTATGGTATCATAGTGAGAAACTGGCAATAGCTTTTGGGTTCCTAATGACACCTAGTGGGGCAGTGATCAGAGTTTGCAAGAACCTTAGAATTTGTGGGGATTGTCACTCTTCAACTAAGTTTATTTCAAAGGTTACAGGCCGAGAAATTATAGTAAGGGATGCACGCCGTTTCCACCATTTTACGGATGGGCAGTGCTCATGTGGAGATTATTGGTGAATTCCAAGATGGTTTTTGCAACAAATGACAGGGGTATAAGGGAAACAAAAAGGAAGTGCCAAAACAAAAAGAAAGGATGACATACCCTAATCCAATGGATTGTCATAAATTACTAAACAAGGGATTCATCACCTATTACTGACGATGAATGGTGGATATTTATTGAAATGGGATGTACGAGGACATTCAGCTGGATAATTTAGTGGCATCCACCCATATCAGAATTCAGATATAGATGGTAGATGCCCCTTTGGAATAAAGTATGGCATACTCCATCAACCAATGCTATACTTCCCAGAATGAATCAAATGCTCTCAATAACTAGAAAAGGTATCAGCCCATTGATGCTTCAAAAGGCTTTTAAAGTCGAATTTGGGGGATTGTAGCTGATGATAATTGGGGCTTCAGAACCAAAGTTTGGTAGTCAACTGTCTGCATTCCTGCAAGTTGGGATCTGAAAAACTGAAGTGTTAAAGACATCAAAAGAAAATTTAAATAACCATATGCAGGATAAATTCTAGTGCTTTCGATGGTTTTATAGGAACTCAATTTATCTTAGTCAGTTTCAACAAAATAAACCCTTTGATGTCAATAAAAAAATTCAGTACTAATTTACTCATGTTTTGAAAAGAGAGACTTGCAGGCGGTTTGGATTCCTCGCACATACCTAATCTGAAATGTCAACATGGTGGCCAAAATCATTTCAATCAGCCACTTAAAAAAAAATCTCATTTCTTTCCAGGAAAGCAATCTCAGCTGGAATCATGTGTACTTGGTAACATAGACAAAGTTACAATATGTTAACACTTTGGAATCGACTGCTTTCTAAACCAATGCTTTCTTTGGTTATAGTAGAGAGTGAAGAAGCAGTCGCAAGCATTTGATTTCCTTCACAAAACATATGTTACAACACTCGGATCACTCTCTTACCAAGCAGAGAAATCCTTGAATTCGGAGACTGAAGCGCTTACTTTCCTCTTCTTGATGTGGCCACTTTCCTCAGATCCTTTCTCAGCTTCTGGATTGATAGTTTTAGCTTTTAAATACTTGCCCACCCCACTGCCAATTGCAGGGGCTCCTGTTGTTCCTTTAACTGGATTGCTAAACCATGAACCCACTTTATCCTGAAATTGAACATTAGTTATTATCTCAGGACAATATAAAATTTTAAAGAAAAATCATCTACTTGGGAGCTATGATTGTTCAATATCAGAAGCTTAAAACTTACATAGTCGTCATCAACTTTCTCCTCCTCCTTTCCCTTCTCTTCTTCATCTGGTTCGGTGTAAGGATTTACAAATACTGTGACACTTGTTATCTTTATTTCTTCCTACATGCAAGCAGTGCCCAAGAAACTATCAAGCAATGTTCAGAGTTGTTGGATTCTGGCCAGGTTCTAAAAATTTTCTGGATTTGACATTGAAATATGCTCAAACTATCTTTACAGTAATTTGACTTCATATTAAGAAGAAAAAATCAAACTCAAGTTTCAACCTAAATATGAATATTGTCCAATATAGTTATTGCCCCTAAACAAAAACATGCACAAGATAAGATATGGATAGGATGCATAAATGGAATTTTGTGTAGGACAAATTTCTCAGTCAACTTCTCAAGAAACAAAATCAGACCGGACACAAGGAACAGTTACCATATAAAACTTCATGCAAATGGAAAAAAAAAGAAGCATGTATGTAGAACACATATATTCATGTTACGTGAAGACTAAAAGTTTCTTTCAACTATTTTATCCAGATTTAGTTTGAGAAAGCATATAAAACCTTACCAGGAACATTATGTCAGACATGTAATAACAGTGCACATATGAAGCCATTAGACCCTAAAAAATTTATGGCAGTTTATCAGCAGTTAGAGATGAGTCCATTGGTGATCTTGCTCAAATTTGAATAGCATTGGTTAAACATTCGAATATTTTAAATTTGGCCAACATCCTCATGTTTATGTAGTATTTATAAGTTTGATACTCAAGGAAGATAAAAATTATTCCATGTAAATCTGGTGTATCATTCAAATCTAATATGGTTCATCCAAAGGATTTTATTGTTAATGAGATTTAGCAGAAGCTCAGACTTTTGTTTTTCTTTTCTTTGATATAGGGCAATTTTACTCATATTTTTCAAGTTAATTTTTGTGCATGCGTGTGTCGCTAAGGCCTCACCATTTTCATGGCCATAGGATTCTTCATTCGAGAGATTTCAAGATTTCTCTGCTTGTATTTAATATGGTAATAATGCAATAACAATTAATTGATTATAAATACTTCTTAGAATTTCATAGTGACCATTCTCCAAAAAAAAAAGAATACTTCTTAGAATTACAACAAAATTGGGCATGTGCCAAAATAATGATTCCTTTCTACCGCTTTCATAGTTTCCATTATGACAAGTTGCAGCAGAACAATCAGAAGAATAAAGATGTCAAATCAATGATAAGCTGATCACAACAATCTAGAAAATCAAATCCAGTAATGATACGCTGATCACAACAATCTAGAAAATCAAATCTAGTAGCAAACAAATCGAAGTTAACATAAGGCACTTTTTCTAGCATACTATTTGGATATGGACTAAACAACATTTCTTCTGTCTGATACTGCTACATGCATTAACAATTAGATGATGATATAAAGCATTAGGCATCATCATCACATCTTGATTTTTGCTTACCAAAGGGCGATCATCATCATCAACAGGAACCTTCTCCATTAATGCCAGTGTGGTCATTCCACCCACTACTCTACCAAATACAGTATGTTTGAAGTTCAGATGCTTTGCAGACTTGTATAATATGAAAAATTGGGATCCATTCGTATGGCGCCCACTATTTGCCATGCTGACAATTCCCCTCTCTGAGTGAAGCAACTTTGAGTTCAGTTCATCTTGGAAAGGTTTACCCCATATGGACTCTCCACCTTTTCCAGTGCCTGTAGGGTCACCACCTTGAATCATGAAATTCCTGAAAAGAAAAACCAGAGAATACAACTTGAGACAACAACATTGTAGGAAAGAAAAGATATCAGCAAGGGGACAATATTTCAGAAAGAGAATGATAATCCAATGAGCTATGGAAAGCCATAATCCAGTGAAGCCATCACCATCCAATTAAATAGATGACCAGCATAGGACATTAGCCCCGTGATGCTACCACTCTCTCCACTTCATTGTCCATTATGGTTGATTGCTTTCCAAAATCCATAGAATCATAGTATAGTTTTATAACTTCACATAATATAAAATAAAAATGATACATTAGCAGCATACCTGATGCTTCTGTGGAATGCTACACCATTATAATAGCCACATTCACACAATGTAATGAAATTTTCACATGCTCGAGGAGTTATATCACAATGCAACTCAATGTTCAACTCTCCATGTGTTGTGTGCAATTGAACATAGCCTTTCTTAGTTGGGTTCTTCTCAACTTTGATGTATTCAAAATCATTCGTGGTTACAGGGTCATAACTGGTAGAAGTGAAAGATCGTGATGCTGCTCCAGTTGTGAAACGGCTTTTCACCTACAGAAAAGAATGATACCTACACCCTTTAAAGAAGGATAAAAACAAGAAATAATGGAAACCAAAAAACACAATTTCCAAGTTCACCACTGGTTTGTAATATATAGATTATAGAAGGAACACACACAAGAACAAAGTTAAAATGTGCAAACATATTTTGCATAATTTTCAAATAAAGAAAAGAACATTTAACCCAAAATCATTTCAAGAACAAAATTTTTCGACTTGCATGTAATAATGTAATTCCCCACAAAAAGAAAAACAAGACAACAACCATCATTCATGCAATGGAAGAAGATTCCTTAAGTCTAATTTCAAAGCCTGGAGTCGCCAACACTTTGGCGACTCCAGGTGAGGAAGAAGCTCCCCTCAGTGAGATCAATGTGCTCAATTTCCCGAAGTCAAGAGACCTGCTGCCTCAAAAAGGGATGAGGAAGTCTGACACCAAGGTCAAATACTAACCACTCTTCAAAAAAGAGGAAATTTTTTGGCACCAGAGATCTAGAATTAAGTGGTTTAGGAAGGCATAATATGGCACTTTTCCATAAGATCGTGAGCTGACGAAGAAAAACAAATACTATTGAAGATTAGAGACAGAGGCCTAGTCGAGGACAAGCCACCAGAAGTCAATTCAGTTAAAAGCAACATTTTTAGAGCCTGTTTTGGAGCCGATATCAGGTTAGACCAGGATGCTGAACTGGAATTTCCTAACTATTCCCAAGGAGAAGGCGGATTGGTTAGAGTGCCCTTCTAAAGAATATGAGATCCATAAGGATGTAGCTGACTTAGGCATGATAAGGTGAAAGGACCGGATGGCTTTCTGGATGCTTGTTCCATAATTTCTGCAATACCCTAACCCCAGGCTAGCTGCTTACCCAAAAAAAAAAACAAGGCTAGCTGGTCCTTTTTGAGAATTCTAAAATAGGGGGTATTAACCAGCAGATGAATTGCCCAAATTCCTAAAGTCGGGGGGGGGCTGAAGAGCCAAAAACTTTTAGTTGCAGAAGCCTCCTCAACAGCTTTTATAAGATTCTTTCCAAACTGTTGGCCTCTTGTTTGCAGTAGGTGCTGAGTTGTCATGTTCCCCTACCTAGGGCACTTCTGTAAACGATTGCCAAATTTTGGATGTTGCCTTGATGGAACAAGAATGCGTCCATGCCAGGAATGTCTGAATCAACTGAACTGGACCTCAATTAGGATTGGGAGGTGTATGACCAAGTAGAGTGGAATATATAGTCAAACAGGTTTTGGTCGAAAATTGAGAAATTAGATTTCGGAATGCATCGCTTCCCATACTTCTCAATACTAATAAATGGCTGTCCCCAACGTTTATTCCCTTTGTTGAGGGTCTCTACCAAGGTAACCACTCTCCCCTTGTTTGCTATAGTAGGAGATTCAACAGGTGCATTTCAAACCTCTACAATCAAAACTTGAGATTCAACAGGTGCATTTCAAACCCCTACAATCAAAACTTTCTTCAAGGATTCCCCTCTTGGGATTCTCGTATATCCCATGATTCAGTATGCAAATGATCCTTTAACCTCTTTTGAACACTCAGCAAGTAGACAATTTAGTATAGTTGCAGGATCTCCCAACTAAGGTGGTGATCCCGCTCTAGGATCACTCTCCGGCATTCTTTTGTCAGGATCACCATCATCATCAGAGCCTCTTCCCAACTATTTGGGGTCGGCTACATGAATCCTGGTCTATTATTCTGCTCTATCAAGGGTCATACTTTTAGTGAAGTCATAAATCTTAATATCTTTTCTCACTACTTCCAACCATATCCTTTTGGCCTACCCCCAAACCTTTTTAAGCCTTCCACTTGAACCAACTCGCACCTCCTAACAAGTGATGTATTAGGTCTGACTTGTACATGGCCAGCCCGCCTAAGTCTACTTCCTCTCATCTTATCACCTATTGGAGCCACACTTAAGTTCTCTCGAATGTACTCATTTCGAATTCTATCCCTTCTTATCTTGCCATTCATCCATCTCAACATCATCATCTCAGCCAAACTCATCATATGGGGTATGTTGTTCCTTGACCACCCAACATTTTGCCCTATAAAGCAAAGCTGGTCTCACAATTATCCTATAGAACTTCCCCTTCAGCTTCAGTAGTAATGCGGCAATCACATAAAACTCCAATTGCACATCTCCACTTTGCCCACCTAGCTCTAATTCTATGGGCGACATCTTCCTCAATCTCTCCATGTTTCTAGATTATTGACCTAAGACACTAAAAGTGCACTCTTTTTGGTATTTCTTGGCCGACAATGTTAACTACTTCCTCTACTCCTATTATTGCTTAACTTGCATTCTATATACTCTGTCTTAATCCGGCTAATTTTAAAATATTTAGATTCTAAAGCATCCTTCCAAAGTTCTAACTTTGTATTGATGCTGCTTCGAGTCTCATCAATCAAAACTATGTCATTCGCAAATAACATACACCACAATACCTCATCTTTTAGGTGCCTAGTTAAATCGTCTATAACTAAGACTAAGACGTATGGGCTCAACACTGACCCCTGATGTACTAAAAACTCATTTGTCTCCACTAGTTATTCTCACACTAGTTAGCACAACATCGTACATATCTCTCACCAAGTCTTTATAATATCTGGAGACTATTTTCTTTTTCAACACCCACCAAATTTAATCTCTAGGTACCCTATCATAAGTTTTCTCTAAATCAATAAAAACCATGTGGAGGTCTTTTTCTTTTGTCCTAAACTTCTCAATCAGTTACCTAAATAGGAAAATAGCCTCAGTTGTTGACCTTCCCAACAGTGTTTCAAAAAGTGCTAGGCGGCACCTAGGCGGTCAGGGTGGTCCAAGCTGCCCAACACCTAGGCGGCGGCCCAAAACCTGGGCGGCCCAGCAAAAACAAATTTTGTTTTGGAGTTTTCTCTCTCTAAAATAGCCTCTAATGGGTTTTAGGTTTCAAATGAACCTAAAACCCACAATTTTCCCTTTAGTATTAAAAAAAATGACCCAACAATACCCTTAAGGAGCCGCATTTCCACCCCTAGGCGGGGCGCAGGCCCTGGGCGGCCGCCTAGGAGAGGCTAGCGCCTAGGCGGGTTCTCGAGCACCTAGGCGAGTTCCCAGGCGCCTAGGGATATCCGCCTAGTTTGGCCGCGTAGGCCTAGGCAATGCGCTCAGGCCTTCTGAACCGCCTAGGCGGCCGCCCAAGCGCTGGGCAGTCCGCTTTTTAAAACAATGCTTCCTAGCATTCCTTTGCCAGGATCCCATTCCCTAACATTAGGCATCTTGTGCCAGACTTACTAAATCATAATCCACACCATATTGATTGCATAAAGCCATAATCACATCATAATTATAATTGCATCAATCTGTGCCTTATCAAAATATTATTGAAAGCTAATGAAATACCATTTGACGGCATTTTCTAATTTTTAATATAAACTGTACTTAATACTTTTCTATTTACTAATACTGATACAATATATCTAAAACCTTTTTATTAAAATTTCTATATTTAAAAACAGATGTATTAAATAATAAATTGTATATAATGCACTCTTGACCTAGAGAGCTTCTTGCATGTGGCGTTCCATTGCTCTTGCTCCAGCTCCCACTCCCACTCTCACTCCAAGCGACTATCATATATAGTTGTTCCTCAGGTGCTAAGTGCTTTACGACAATCCATCCCAAGACAAAACTTATTGGAGTTTGTGCTAGCCACAATACCAAACACTTGTTGGCAAAGAGGCTGGTATGTGGGACTGAGTCCTCACCCAACGAGTACCGCTGCCTTCTCTTATGCATCGGCAAACCTAGAAAGGCACAATGAGAGGGCCAATCAAAAAATTTGAGAGAAGGTGGCAAAGTTCAGGAGGGGGTTGGTGGCATCCAGCTTTCAACTGGCATAGAAAGTTACATTTCTAATGCCAAGTGGTAAATAGACGTTATAGAAGCCATCCTATCCAACATCTTGGTGTTTCAACTATTTCTCTTCAGGATGCCAATGGTCACTCTCAATAGGCTAGAGGACATGATGAGAGATTTCCTTTGGTTAGATCGGGGGAAGGTGGGGCACACATAATTTTTTTTCTTTTTTTTTTTAAGAATTGCTTACATTATAATTACTTACAAAAGGGCGGCACACATGAATTTCATTTGGCAAGATGGGATTCGGTGTTTAAACCTAAACAGGCAAGCAAATTAGGAATTTGGAAACTCAAAGATTATAATAATGCCCTTCAGAGTAAATGGTGATGGCACTTTGCAAGTCATAGTGGTCACTAGTAACAGCCTGCAATCCAGGAGTATGGGCTATATCAGTCTGGTTGGCTGCCTAAGAGCCTGCCAAATGCGCACACCTCTGGCGATGAGATAGGAATTGTCACCGTCCACTTTGACTTTAGCAATAGGACTTGGTTTGTGGTGAAAACTAGGAAGTGCATAGGCTATTGGTGGGATTTATGGACTGGGACTCCACTATCGAAATCCTTTTCCATAGACTATTCACCTAAATCAAAGACCAAAATGCTTCAATTGCAGAGTCTTACAAGGTGATTAGGGGCAACTGGTATGAACAACACGTTTCAGGAAAAAAACCTCGTAATTCAGAGATCCACATCCATGTTGCTCTGACGGATCTTATAGAGATTCAGTTCATCCCACATGTGTGAAGGGATAAATCGATTTGGAACCCAGCCTCCTCAGGTATCTTCTCCATCTCTTCTATGTAAAATACTGTGAACCCCAGCAACAATCTGTCACAGCAAACAAAGCCTGGTGTTCCCCCATCCCACCTAAGATCCAGGCATTCAATTTGCTGGTTGTTTCTAAGGAGGCCTTGAACATAGAACAGATTCAAAGGATAGGGATTCAAACCCAACCATTGTGTTGTGTAAAGATGAGGAGGAAAACATAGATAACTAGCTTATCCATTGCACTGTTCATTGCCCAAATCAGGGCTTTTATTCTCTGCCTTTTTGAATTGGTGTCAGTTTTTCCCAAAAATGTAAAATAGCTCTTTTGAGTCTACTTTCTCCACCACTTCTGCCATAGATCTGTTCCTTCGGTGAGCCTCTTTGTTGCCTTCAAATTGGTCTATATGGATGGAGCACATAGGAACATATTCGAGAGTAAGGAAATGCAGTTTGGTACTTTGAGAGACATTATCAATCCACCGTTAGTCTGTTACCTATTGGGCCCAGAACTGAAAGGACTTCTCGGATTGTTCAATGGCAGATGTTATACAAAACCGATGAATCAATTTAAGGGCGATGCTGATCACTGTTTTCGCGTCGAACTTGTGGTCCCCACTGCCTTCTCATCAAACTTAACTTTGCTGGATGCCATCTTTTGTAACCTGCTCTGGCAGGCATTGGAAGTATATGTAAAAGCAATTCAGCTGATTTATAACTGTCCTATTCAGGCTCCATTGGTACAATGAATTCCAAAGAAGGTACGTACGTTTCTGGAGGGCCTGAAATTGTATGATTATATAGATGGGATCCCCCCCTTCAGGTGGAAAGGGACTCATTGAATGTCTCTAGATGGGCCTCAAGGGATGCCACTTGTCCCCAGTCCTAATCAGGGCACAAATTATATCTTTTTGCCTCTGTCCATCTTGAACAGATACCACTACATGCATCCATGTCAATTTCTTTGCTATCAATATTAAAAGTCATCTTGCATAACAAAAAAGGAAATGGAAGAAGAGTTTGTAACTTATGAAAACTGAAACTAACCATTTTGGCATTCACAGGTTGTCGCTCACCAGCCATGTGCACAGCGATGTGTGCAGCTGTCTTATCGTCCGATGCTGCTTTGGCAGCTGCTGCACTTCTCCCATTTACTGAAGCTGATGCAGCATCTACTATGCTAAAAGACTGCGCATTTTTTTTCTCCCCATTTGCTTTCAAGTTTGAATTCTCTTTAATTTCTGACCTAGAATCTAAAATGGCAGCAAGGGCAGCAGCTCTTTCATGTTGGGCTTTATTACCACCTCCACCATGCAAGGCAGTTTGCCTTCCCTTCTCAGTTCCAAGTTCTTTCAACATCTGCTTGATATCACCAGATGCATTGATGTTATAGAATGGGTCCTCTTGCATCTTCCTTAGTTCTGGCAGAATATTGATAGATATATTTAGCAATATACTAACAAGCCGATTAATGCATATTGATGCTTGAAAATATAGGTGGGTAAAAATAACGAAGAAATTGCTCACCTTCATCATCAACTTTCAAGCCATTTTTAACATGATCAAAATCTGTGAGGACCTTTGCATCAAGGGCATTTGGGTTCTGCAATGAAAATATTAAAACCCAGTTGAAGACAACATATCCTGACAGTGAAAATGAAGGAAAAGTGCTGCATCACTATTTCATTTTACCTGAATCGTGATTAGATCTTCTCTTGTAAAAGGTTCATCTGTGAGTAACTCCTTCCAGTTCTTGGATTTCAGATTCAGTTCTTTGACTGCCTGAAATTAAATTATTAAAATAGTCAACTAAAAGAGTTTCAAGGTCAGTGCCCAGATTTCGTACCTGACAGCATACTAACTGCAGTATCCAACAAAGATATCAAACAAGAGAAAAATGATTGAGCCAAAGAAACCAAATTATCAAATGTCAAAACTCTAAACTACAAGAAAAGCAATAGACTACCTCATAAGAGAATACATTTCCTGTTGGTCTAACTGCAACTATGTATGTGAACTCTGTAAAGACTTTATTCAAAACTGGGCAATGGAACTCTCCTACAATGGAAGAAATAATCCAACATTAGACATATATGTAACATGTCTAAGTAAGAACTCTAAGACCAGGATGTATCCTCCAATATTAAGTCGGTAAAATGTTTATCAAGGCATTATGCGAAGGACCAAGAAGAATTTATATACTTAAGATTTACAAAAATGAGAGAAGAAGATCACAAAGATTAGTAGTTATTCCAAGTTCCAAAGCTTAACAAAAATGAGAGAAGAAAATCAAAAAGATTGGTTGTTATTCCAAGTTCCAAAGCTTACTGCTACTGAGACCTCTGATGCACCCTTAGTTGCCAACGAGTATTAAGAATATAAATATGTATATTAATCTGTAACTACAAGCATGTTTTAGTTGTTTCTGCTGTACTTAATAAGAATCAACTATATCAAAATTCTGTCCGCTTTAACATGGGATCAGGTGACACCCTAACTGACTAATACTAATTTTTAAGGCCCAAATTGGATCAGCTTCTAGGGTGGCCAGGGATAAAAGAATGAAGGTTCATAAGCAAGCAGGGGTATGGATCTCTAATTTTTATGGAAAATCACATATGTGGGATACCTAACACTTACTACACCAGTGACGCAAGTTAGTCTAAGAACTTTTTGAGCTCTGCCCTTTAATCGATTTTATGTTTTTAGGAGACATTGAAGCCCATCCAAAACTTCTACAGAAAGTTGCAATTCTTCAGAAGTTTGGGATAATTTATTTGTATTGTTCACTTTCTCTTGTAATTGCACTCAACTGGAGTAAGTTTTCCCAGCCTAGTATGGATGTCTGCATGAGTTTGGGAAGAGTTAGATGGATACTTAACGTTCCTCTTGCCACTCACGCATATAATTAGCGAGTTTTTGAATCAATATGCATGTTTGAGACTCTAAATATAAACGAAACCAAAATCAATAGTTCACCTTCTCTGTACCTCCCTTCAGACAAAGTTTGGTCTTGATTGGATAAGTATCTTCAAAGATATCATATTCACTTGTTTTTACAGCCCTCACAGCAGTACAGACATATTGATTGATTGCAGTTGCACAAATGTTGACACACGTTTGGGTGTGAGACCCTAACAGACTAATATGTCCCGGGGCAAGGCCAACTTTTCACATATTTTGATTAGTGAATTAAATTAATATCATATTCTCTAGTTTTTTTTATAGCCCTCACAGACAGTATAGATATATCGATTGGCTGCATACGTGTTTGGGTGTGAGACTCTAACAGACTAATACATTCACCGTGCAAGGCCTAGTTTTCACATATTTTGATCAGTGGAACAAATTGATGCAACACATGCTGGGGAAATCCCCCATGGACACAATGTCTTCCCTTCAAATCTGTTAGTTTCAGGGATTACAGCCTTATGTAATCTAACAGACCATGTGCCTTTGAAAGTTAGGCCATAGGGTAGTTGTTGCTTCATAGGAATTTAGCAGAGCCCAAAAATAAACCCCTTCCAAGATCCAATTTTAGAAGAGGAAACGGCTTTAGTGGACGCCTTTTAGAACCAGTGACATTCACTTTGGTAGTTCACCTCTAATTCATCCAAGCACTTGCTGATAATATTGGATGGTCGTTTTTAGGTCACATTTGCAAAATCTGCCCCTAGCAAAATAAATGTATAAAACAATTAAAAAAAATGAAAAGAAAAGAGAGATGCAAAATGATTGGACCAGATGGCGAGAATGGAGATTGTCTTTAAACAATGACACTTGGTAGCTCTTTAGGCATATGCCATTGATCTTTTCCTCTATTCTATCTTTCTCTAATTAGCCATCTGATTCAAAGCCACTACAGTTGGTTGTTACCAATGGCTCTTCATGCTGCTATAACAAGGCCTATCATCAAAGTTTTTCTAAAATGTGAGTTACTTCCTAAATGAGAGATTCTGTAATTTTTTTATGGAAAAGGTTTATATAAGGTTGCAACCTTATAATATAGAAGTAAGGTGCACCTCAAAATCCAGCACAAAAGAGTGTTCCCACATTGGAAAACTGTCCAATTGATCATCTCAACCTCAAGATGTATGGGTATAAAGAATAAAAAATGAAAGATAGAAAGAATTTCACGTCCTAAAATTAGTGTATCTTGTCACAAGTTATCTAGACTGCCTATTTTCAAGATTTTCAAGTGTTCACAAATCTGCTCTATCTAAACCTTTTTGAAATTTGGATTTCATACTTAGGGTTGAACATTTATTTTTCTTCCAATACCACAAGTACATCTTCTAACAAAATTTAGAGGTGCCCCTTGTATAGTATAAGGTAGCACCTTATACAAACCTCACCGTTTTTTAATCACTAATGATTCATTGAAGGGTAGGAAGGCACTAGTAAATGAGATTCATAAGCAAGAGCTGAAAAAAGCTTCAAATCAGGAGGGCCACCCTTAGTATGAGGATCATATAACTAAGGTTCACACTTCACACAAGTATAGAAGTATGAGATAATAATTAATCCTTAACAAATAGGAACCCAATAGACATAGATTCTCTTGCAACATCCCAACGTATTATGCAACCACAGCAAGGACCACACTGCATATAGCTCACTATTTGGGCTACCTAGATAAATCTCCATAGGCAGCGCATTCATATGAGAGTGCAAACACAATGTGATGCACCCGCTCATGCAGCCCCTGCATGTTGATGGAAAATTTCCACGAGTAAGGGTAAAAAGTTTAAGTTCCCCTCGGAAAGTAGGGAAATGGATTTTTTCCCTTTTTCTTTTTGCCCTTGGGGGGGGGTTAGCCCTACGAACCAATATTTGTTGGTTGTCAAAGGATTAAACTCAGAAAAAGAAAATGGAATATTTTTTATTTAAAAATGTTCAAAACACGTTGGGGATTTTGTAGGTGAAACCGATTTGAATTTGAGCTATATTTTAAAGGATTTTGAGCAAAGATTTATTGGGCAATTGGGGGTTTCCAGGAGCAAGGAGATTAAAACTATAAATTAATGTTTCTTTCAATTCAGATTTGTTATTGAAACCAAGAGCAATTTTTCGATAAGTTTCATTGCGCATTGCCTATTTATTTTTTTCTTAACAATATCTCCATATTCTTTGAGTAACAAAGATCTGGAGCATAGTGTGGAAATATGCAAAACTAACCCACCCCAAAGATAGAAATGGTTTTACTGTACACAATGGGGGAAACCTTATGACAGGTTTTCTGGCAAAAGGAATATCTTGTTGATACTCTGAGAAATATAAGGGAATGTGCAAAAGCAACCATTGAAACTAAATTAGAGGATACATTGATAGCTAAAAATAAACAAACGATAGAACTGGAGCATCAAAAATTCTTGAATAAGGTTTGAACATAGCTGCGGGAACCTTGGGGGTAAGGCCAAGGTCCCACCTTAGGAACTCTATCTGCAGTTCCTCTGAGGGATCTCAAAGGAGAAATAGGGATCTCGCTTCCTATAAAAAGGGATCTCGGTCTAAATGCTTGTAGGATCCCTCCAAGGAGAGGAGCTATACTATTAATTGATTTCCTACAGCTCCTCTCCTTAGTATCATATGTTTATTTCTTTAGAATAAAATAAACCATGGTGCATACCACATCTTAGTACACTAAAATTATGGTATTAAAAAGCTACATGTTAATATCATTATATTAAATTGGAGTACTATAACAATGGCATTGGTACTAAGCTAAGTTGTATGATGATAGATCAAGCAGGCATTGATTCAATCTTAATTCTATCATATACTATTAATTGATCCCATTTTGTACATAATTGAGCTTAGATTCCTCCAGGCCCAATCCTCGATCCTAGTGGCACGGAATCTTGCTCCCAGCCATCCTAGGATCTAGCTCCTTAACTTGTTGAATGTACCGACGTTGATTCTAACACCAGGGAGTTTCCACCTTATGGTGGTTCGGTGTTCCCTAAACTAATCTTGCTCCTGCCTCCAAAAACTATGGGTTTGCATATATGACGATGAAGCTGAAGATGATAATGAAGTTGGAAGTGGTCGTAGGATTACGGGGGAGATACTCCCAATGTTAGGCAAAAGAGACCACATCCAAAAGGGCCAACGGATTAATTTTGCACACCCATCCCGAGGTTGTGGTAAAGGATAGAAGGAACAAGGGACACTACAATTAAGAAACAATAGAAAAAGAAGAATTATCAAGGTCTGCAAGCACATTGCCAAATGGTTTCAACAATCTGGTGTTCCATCTAATACTACTTACCTTGACATCTTCAAGGTTATGATTGAGGTAATCAAGCAACTTCGCCCATGGCTCAAACCCCCTACAACTCATGAGCTTAGAGAATGATGCCAGAAAAAAAAATCCAGAAAACAATAAAAGATAAAATAAGGGATGAGAGAATATACGCTCTCTCAGGGTCTACAAGGGAGTACGGAATCCCTAAATATCTCTTCCCAAAATCAAAAAAAAACTTTCTTTACTCTATTCACCACCTTCCGCAATAGGGATATATCTCCCTTTTAAATTCAAATTAAAAAAATAAAATAAAAAAACATAAAATAGAACTCCAAAAATATTCTCTCCCCACATTCTCTTTTTCTTTACCCCACTTTTTCCCTCTCCTAGTCTTAGTAAATCTCCCTTTTCCCAATCTCACGTAATCTCTTCATAAGAAAATCTCTTAAGTCAAGTAAATCCCTTAAAACTAGGACTCCCTTATCTACAACCTTTAACAAAATATATCCTACCAAACTCCCATAGAAAACTTCCTATTTTGCCCCTTAAATATCTACAAAGAATAAAAGATAAAAATAACCCTACACATAAAATCTAAAAATAGCAAAATAAAAAAAAACACTATAGTATTGTCTCGAGGTTGGAAGAAGCTCAACCTCAAGCTTGTTGAACTCAAATCTTTTAGAAGCTTTCTCAAAAGTTGATGATGCAATCCCCATATTCTTTTGCGTAATTTTTCTTCTTCAAATAAACAATTGATCCAACACAATATGTAGTGGAACTCTAAAATGCCAAACTCTAGAATACTAGACTGAATCATGATTTTTCTCACAAGGTTGGATTTCACGTACTGCGTTACACATATCTTCTTCTTCATAACTGATGTTCGAAGATTCTTGTGCTTTTGAGTTATTGACATTATCTTTTGCATTGAGATCTCTCTCTTCATGTTCTTGTTCATCTTGTTGTAATCTACTCTCTTCATGTTCTTGTTCATCTTGTTGTAATCTACTCAGCTGATCTTGTAAATATCGTCGTATTACTCCGCCAAGGTATTCCAAGTGTCACTCAAATTTTTATTCCAATTGCTCAAATATTTGATCAAATCAATCCAAATGGTGAATAGATCACTGATCTCAAGGCTCTGATACCAACTGATGCGGGGAAAAAATAATAAGCAAAAAAATAAAAAGTAAAAAATAACAATAAAATGTTGAGAGACAAGGGAGTCCACCCAAACATCTCTTCACAAGATCAAAGAAAACTCTTTCTTTACTCTATTCACCATCTTCCATAATAGGGATGTCTTTCCCTTTTAAATGCAAACTAAAAAAATAGAATAAAATAAAATTCCAAAAGTATTCTCTCTCCCCACATTCTATCTCTCTTTACCCACATTTTTCCCTCTCCTAATCTTAGTAAATCTCCTCTATCCCAATCTCACATTAATATCTTCCTAAGAAAATCTCTAAGTCAACTAAATCCCTTAAAACTAGGATTCCAATGTCTACAACCTTTAACAAAATATATCCTAACTACCATAAAAAATTCCTATTTTGCTCCTTAAATCTCTACAAGGAAGAAAAGACAAAAGTAACACCACACATAAAATCTAAAAATAGGTAGGAGAAGATTTTCAATTCCCATAGAGATGGATAGGAGAAGTACGGCCTCACAATCATGTGTGATGGATGGTCCGATGAAGGACCCATTCAACTGTTAAGTATTTGGTCAATTGTTCCTCATGGACTTTTTTTTCTTTAAGTTTGTCAATGTATTGGACCAACATGATACAAGTTGCTTGTTTGAGTTGTTGAATCAAGTGGTAGACAAGGTTCGGGAACGCATGTGGTACAAGTTACAATGATAATGTTGTCAACTATTTTTCAGTTGCACGCTTGTTGACATTGGAGAAAAAACATGTGTTATGTTTTGGGCTCCTTGTGTAGCACATTGTCTAGACCTCATGCTTAACGAAGTTACTCAGGTTTAAGCAAGCCATACATTGCCAAATGATTTAAAAATTCAGTGTTCCATTTAATACTATTTACCTTGATAGCTTCAAGGTGAGGATATTTTGCCAAGAGCTCAAACTACAATTCATGAGCTTAGGAAGCCCCTATTGAGAGATGCGATGTTAAGAAGATTTTTGAATTCCCATAGAGAGAGGTGGGAGAAGTATGGGGTCACAATCACGTGTAACAGATGGTCCGATGAAGGATCCATTCAATTATTAAATATTAGGTCAATTGTCTCTTGTTTGAGTTTGCTGGATCAAGGTGTTGAATGAGGCTCGCGAAAGCATGTGATACAAGTAATCACAGATAATGCTATCGATTATTCTGCAGTCAGGCATTTGTTGACATTGAAGGCAAAGCATATGTTATGTTTTGGACTCCTTGACACATTGTCTAGGCTAAATGCTTAAGGGCATAGGGAAGTTCCCCAGGTTTGAAGGGGTGATAAAGAAAGCTAAGGCAATCATCGATTCCATTTGTAACCAATAAATTAGTCCTAAGCATGATGAGGGAGTTAATGAATAAGAGAGTGAGACAAGAAATTACTGCATTTGCCAAAACCTACATTCTCCAAAGCATATGCAAGGATAAGATGCTTTAAGAAGCACGTTCACTTCAAAAAAATTGATTAGACATATGTGGTCAAGGCATCCAGATGGGAGAAGGTCTCAGAAAACCATGTTAAATTCACTTTTAAGGGTAACAGTCCACTTCAGATTGGATATTTCTTGTCCTTTCATTGACAGTGCTAAGTTTAATTAATGGTTCTGTGAAGCCCATCATGGGCTTCATACATGAGGCAATGAATCGAGCAAAAGAAGAAATCAAAAGTAGATACAACCTTACAATTGAAATCATAGATTCCATACAGCTGGATATTTTTTCAATTCATCCCTTCATTACAAACATCCAGGCAATAAATTAGGTTATACAATCAACAGAGGCTTCTTGGATGTTTTAACAACATTGGTTCCTGATTCAAGTATACAAGATAAAATCCAAAGTGATGAATTAATAAAATTTCATTTTGCATTAGAGGACTTTGGACGAGATATAGCAATCCAAAACAGGAGCACAACACAACCAAGTAAATTATGAATATGCAAGTTCGAATTCCGCAGACTCAAAAACAGTGAAATTTTTTCCTAACCGCATTGTACCTTTACTAAAATTTTAAATATGCAGCTGAGGGGTGAGCATCTTATGGGAGTGAGATACCAAATCTACAACATCTCCCTATTTGAGTGTTGAATATCACTTACAGTTCATCCGGTTACAAGCAACTAGAGCATATTTGAGCATGCAAGTCTCTTTCTGCTTGGTTGTCAAGAATCTAGATCATCAAAATCTATTAGGCATAGGTTAAGCAACCCTGTTGTTTTCCTTTGCTTGTTGCATTTCTTTCTATTGCAGCTTCATAGTAAAAGAAGGAACAGGATAGAGCATTAAAAAATTAAATGGCCTAGTATATGTCAATACAATAAATGCCTTAGAGAGAGGTACTAGAAGTGCATTCAATGAACATTAACCCTATTGTCTTGGATGAACACAACGACCCAAGTCAATAGATCCTAAATCCAGAACAGGTGTTCTAGTTTGAAGACTTGGGTTGGATGTCAAAAGGGCTTGAAGGGTTGACAAAACCTTAGGCCTACCACTAGACTATAAAAGAAGAGAGTTGGGTCCACATGTACAATGGTTTCAAAGATTGAGGCGGAGGCAGCTGAATCAAAGAAGGCTGAGGAAAGAAACATATGTTAATAAGGGGAGTTTCATGCGGATAGTGATGGCCCAGCTTCGGATGTGGAATAGATAAGAAGAGATGCACACACAGATATGATTTGAAGTTTGATTGGCTTGGAGTTTGATTGAATGTGCACATGATAAATCTTATTGTACGCGTACCACATGACTAGTCCTCAAAAATAGGAATTGTTTGAAGTAGTTCGTCATTGTTAGTATGCGTGTTATGGAAATTGCACTGCAGTTATTACTGGCATCATCATTATTTGATGCTTACAAGTTAACCAAGCTATAAGCAATCGCAAAGCAACAATGCACATTCAATAGAGCAATGAAACAAGAAAAAAACTCAATGGTTGAGAGAAGAAATCAAATCCATGTTTTGAAATAAAGAGCACATGAAAACGCAATGCCAATAAGAAAGCAAAACATGCCAAAGAACAGAAAAAATTTAGGGCCAGTTTGGATCGCGCTTGTAAGCGGTCTCAAAGCGCAACATTATTGCCGATGGGTAAAGAACAGCTTCTTCGATCTTAACCCTATCAGTGATAATTCCCTCGTTACATAAAGGTAGTGCCAATACGCTATGGACAAGCATGCCAGGCCAAAAGCGGCATAATGAGGCTCGCACATATAAGGTGGCACTATTGGCAACTTAAACGCGACCCAGACAGGCCCTCCAAATACAACACTATTACAACAGCAGCGTGAAAAACCTTCAATGTAAGGAACTAGATAGCTTATTACTAATATGTTCAAGCTGTAGTTAACCATTCCTCAAAAAAGGATATGTTCAAGCTGAGTTTCCACACCTTCTGAGTTCTTGTGGAAATGAAGGGGAATGAGGTCAGAAACCTTTAATGACGCCCCACTAACAGGATGCTTCCCAAATTTATTGATGTAAGGAATAATATTCCTGCAAAAAGGAGATAAAATAAAAAGAGAACAAAATTCAACAAACAGAAAACACAGTCGATATGAAAAGCTGCAAAACTAGAATATCCTGCAAACCTAGTATTATGAAAAAAGAAATAGTCTAAAGCGCAGTGAAGATAAACAGAGATGTAAACTTGGCAGAAAGGGGCATGTAAAAACCCACATCGCATCAAATACACTCCCATCAGATGTGCAAACAGCATCCTCGAATGGCGTGAATGAAAGCCTGAAACCCACAGAAAAGGGGAAAAAGCCAGAGAGAGAGCCATCACTCTCATTAGAAGATTAAATTATGCAAGATAATTAAACAGAGAAAGCATAAACAAGAGAGAGAGAGAGACAGAGAGAGACAGAGAGTTACGAGCAACAGTAGAAGGGCAACCGCTTGAAGGGAGTAGTGAGATCTTTGGATTTGGCGCCCCCCCATTCAGTAGCCCACTCTGTTTTCGTGATGAACATCCGGTCCTTGCTGTGCTGCTTCTTCCCCATCTCTCTCTATTCGCTCTCTCTAACTTCTCAGAGATTTAACCCCCTCTCAAGCGTGTATTGTGAGATTGATCACACTCGTTTTCTCTCTCTGCATATCAACCCATGAATTTCCCGCTTCCGGTATTGAAAGCAAAGCCGCCCTTTCAAGGGGGAGGGCACAATTGACCTTTTTCCCTCGCGCCTTCTTCCTCTCATTTACGCGACGCCGGCTGGTCGCGTCGGTACCAGTGATCTTAGTGGAGCGCATTCAACGTAGTTGCGCGGGCGTATACTGTATGCTACGCCCTCCGGCTATAGATGTACTAGGGGGGTGAAGGGGGGTTACTAGTATAGTTAGTAAGCAGATGAATAAATGGGCTCACCCTAAAATCGGACATAAATAATTTTTATTTAAAAAAATCTGATGAAAAAATCGGTTCAAACATACGGATCGGTAAAAATAAGATATCACAAAAAATCAGAGTAAAAAAAATGAATAAGTTTAAAATATTAGAAATTTTGAAATTTTAAAATATAAAAAATATGTGAAAGCCATCAATAACTAATCCATCTATAAAAACTATACTAGACTAATATAATTAAGTCAATTAATTTAGATGTTTCATGACCATCATCCCATCATCTAATATTAAATACAAATTAAGCATAAGGCATAATAAAATCAATAAAAAACTTACGAGTTTGGGAAGTTGCAATCCCGAAGACATGTAGTCATGCATCATCATCATCATATGTGAAGCTATAATCATTTTCTGCCTCTTCAGAAACCTTTTAAGGGAATAAACCAAGTTGTTTAAGATTAATTACATTACAATCACGAATTCCATTTTCACGAGATGCAGCATCATATTCGAGCTCGTTTTTATGGAAACCAAGTCGGTTAACATAGTTGTTGTCAATTTATTCTTTTTTTTTTTTTTTGAATCACCTCAAAAGCATTCCAACTTCTTTTTTTCTTTTTGTTTAAGTCACCTCAAAAGCACTCCAATTTCTTTCGCACGTTGATAAGTTACATGGTTGGCCCAAAATCCGAATAGCAATCATTAGAACTACTGGAATGTTTTCTCCATATACTTCCCACCAAACTCCTACATAATGAAAAAATTTTAGCCACATATTCAATACATAATTAAAAGTGAAATAAATTTTATTTTTTTAAAATACTAGAAAAATAAATAATACAAGAAGATACAAAAAACTAATAATCAAGAAGATACTTACGCGGATGAGCCATTGACAATAATTACATCGCAACACCATCAAGTATATTTGAATCCGGCATATGGTAGTTTAACAACTCTGAAAAGGGTACATTTTTTGTTGTCTGAATGATATATCTGAAATAAAAGTAAAGTCAGCCTTCCTTTTAAAATTATCAAGTTTAACAAACCCACCATTCATTAAAGTTAGATTAAGATATGTAGTAGCAGCATGAATGAAGCAGATTATATTTCCATTTCGTTTTTTTTCAAACATCTTCAACAATTCAAGATCTCTAGATTCATTGTCATTACAATTCCTGTTTAGTGCTACCCACGCCCTTTACATTGCATCGTATAAATATCACATGGTTGACCTCTCAGTATTACACAAATGAAGTACCTTGAGAAGAGGTGTAAATAACTGGAGCGAACTATATTTTCTTGTCGTTCCAATAGGAGGAAATCCCAAATATTTATACAAGAGTTGCAATGCATATATACACGATATTGCCTACATAAGAGGGATTTAATACAACTACAACAAAGAGATTTGTTACAACTACAAATAATGAATCTTATCTTTTCATGTTAGGAGTTATCTTATCATATGCAATCTCCTTAAGATTAGGCATAAGTTTATCTTTGATGTATTTTCTTACATTCACCCTCAAATTGATGGGGGTGTAACAATATCAGTTTCCTAATCAAATAGTTGTGGTGCCCTTTAGGTAATGTCTTAGTGAAAATGTTAGCAATTTGATCCTTATAAGGGATTCAAGGAAGTGTTATTTCTCCCCATGCAAATTTTTTCTCGTACAAAATGACAATCTACCTCAATATGTTTTATTCTTTCATGGAAACCAGGATTGCTTGCAATTTTCACTGAACTTTCATTATCACAAAATAGAGAGGTTGGAGAAGCTGAAGCGACCCAAGTTAAATTATATGATCAACCACGGTGTATATAAATTCAATTTTTATTTATTTTTCTTATTATTACATCAGCAAGACCATTCACAATGTCCAATTATAAATAAATAAAAGAAGAAAAACATAGTTCTTACTTGCTACCACTATAGAAAATAATTCCTTAAATCAAAACATTGACTCATTGCTTTATGGGAATAAAAGATCTCAACATAAAAAAAAAAATTTAAATAAGTAAAATTGTCGAATATTATTTCAACCGGGAGTAATACACCCTACTTCGAGTCTCCTTGTTCCAAATGGTGCTTGAGATCAATTATCAATCTATTGATTCTCCTACTTGTGGCAAAACCCTCTCAATGACATATGGATATCGATCTAGAACCTACTACCTAAAGTACCAATGCCTTAGTCTTACTCAAGCCTCTTGGCTTGATCTTTAAAGAGGGAGAGATTTATATGCAAGGGGATGCTCCCCTTGCTACCCACGAATCAAAAATCAATCCCAAATTAGGTTGTGCCCCTTAGAATCCACAAGAGAGATATATCGAAGATAGCTTGGGCGTGCCCTTTTGGGAATAGAGTAGTTTAGGTTGGGGTGTGCCCCCTCTTGAAACTTACGAAGAGGGAGATGAAACTCTAGGTTGGGGCATACCCCCTTTAGAATTATTGGAGAGAAAGAGAGAGATAAAATTCTTAGAGAGAGAAGAGAGAATTGGTGTAGAGATTTTGATAAGGGATGAGAGTCTCTTACATAGATTTTTTATGTCTTAGAGTTTGTGGTCTTTAGTGAGATCAAATATTCACCGTCGATCTAAGGAGACTTGTAAGGTGAGAAATGTAAGTCATCCATTCATTTGATTCATCATCAAGATTCAAATGAAGGTGTTAGAACTTTATCATCCATTTCTTAAACATATTCTCATCAACTATTTAGATAAGGAAAATATTTCACATACTTTTTTTCTAATAAATATACATTCCTTAGTTATTGAATCAAGCAATCTTGATACATAAGACTTTCTAGAATTTCAATATTTGATTTTATTGTGCAAGTTGGCTTTATCCAAAATTAGAAAGTCAACTAGAATGAGATAACCATCAACACATTATGCAACTTGATCAATCCGTATGGATGTGGCGTGCCACCATTTGATGGCCTCTCATGGGCCCCACCCAATTACCAAATGTGTTAAATGGGCCTCCATATTTTGTGGAGGGTCCCATATATTTTTAGAAAATATAAAAATTGATTTTTAGAATTTAAATCTCTTAGTTTATTAAAAACATTAGAAAATGACTTTATCTTATGTTATAAATCCAAATGACAAAAAAATATCAAAAGAAATGTAAAAATTCAAATAAACATTCTAAAAATCATATAACATAAAATTAATTAAAACTAATTAATTTTGATAGGAATCAGATCCGTATAGGTCTAAAATTTTTATCAATGCATTGGAGCCCTCCACATTTAACTGCGGACCACGATCCACCTAGCTTTCTCAAACTGACCCAGCCGTTCTCATGACCCACATTCTACTACAGAGGCTCATGATTGGACCACCAAAGTGAACTAATAGGCTAAGGGATGTAATTTCAGTCTGTGGATTTCAAGTTTTTTCCTAGAGACAAAAACTATGATCCCCCAGACCATGATGTAACCACGACTCTATGATACATAATGGTAATTTCTGGCACATATACATACTTCACCCTCAATGATGGATCACTATCTCAATACGACTATCTATGTACATGTCGTATGATGATACAACGATGATTAACCTTATCTCTAAAGGCTATTCATCACACACAAGGGCCACACAGTCCCTCGACTCTCATCCGAGCATATTTCGACCTCATTAAGGACTAATCCACTAAACCGTTCTCTGTCGAATCTCCATGCTCAGGTATCTTTGGTTTTTCGAACACGGCTGCCTTAGCATGTCGAGCCCAGTTTGAGCATCAACAAATAGCATTTATATGGTATAGTCCATAAGAGGACCACATTCCCACTGAGTTTATGTTTCGCTATATAAAATTATGAACTTTTATTAAGAGGTATGAGAGTAGTGGTGGTAGCAATGATGGTGGTGATTAGTGTTCGCAATATTGGCTAGTTGAATTTAGAATCGGCCAGTTAAATAGAAAATAGGCACTGGGAGGTTCCGGTTTTGGTCCGAACCACTAGTACTCCTTTTGAAAATTTCAAATATCCTTTTTCACATGTAAACTTGAAACCTTGCTCATCAAATTTTCCTAAGGACAAGAGATTTTTTCTAAGATCTGAAACATGTCTAACACCTGGGATGATGCATATGCCACTATTGAAAATCTTGATTCTTACATCTCCAACTCCCACTATTTTAAAAGAGCCATTATTTCCCATTTAAACAATACCTCTATCACATTGTTGATACCTACATAACCAATCCTTTGTGGAGTCATGTGAAAGGACATACCTAAATCAAGTAGCCACTACTACAAAACCTCCTCCCTATCCACAAATAAAACTTCCCCATCTTCAGAAAAGTTAACATCTTCTACTAGTTGTCCTTGATAATCACTTGAACTAGGCTTCTCATTAGAACAAGATTTAGGGGCTTCCTAGTTTTCTTTCTGTGCCTTACAATCTTTCTTCATATGACCAACTTTTCATAGCTCAAACACTTCATTTTCTTATGCCTTTTTGCTTTAGATCTTGTTTATCTCTACCCGTAGTTCTCTCTATTGATCTTCCCTATAGTACAAACCAATGGTTTAAAAAACGGATCGGTGACCCGGATCGGGCTTCCAAAAAACCGATCCGGATCGGCAAATCGACGATCCGTATCGGGAATCGGGTGAATCGGTCATAATAAAGCTTAAAAAAAATCCGAAAAATTTATTAAAATTCATTATAAATATTGTTTTTTAGGAATTCAATAAGAAATGAGGGTACTCCATTAAGAATTTTCATGATTTTAAATGAATATGCGAATATTGATATGTTCTTTCCCTGCATGAACCGTCATTCAGCATTTAATTTACATCACACAAAAGGATAA